GAAAAGTTTTAATGAAACAGTCAATCAAAATGCTGATATCATGTGATCATATCAAACAGCATAATTTCAAATGATTGATTTCAGACACAGAAGCTGGTTTATTGGATGGTTGAGAGGGGGATCCTCCTGATCGACTTTATTTGACAAACAACAGTGAGTTTCTAATGTTTCTGTAAACAGCTGGCTTAACTAGGTAGCTAATGCTAACACCTGTTTAAAAGGGTGCCTGTGCCAGTGTTTATGTATGCTGTTATCGTGATCAATGTAGCTAGATTATTCAATTTTTTCTCTCCTGACACTCCTAATTTTACACAGAGTACAGACCCCTTTGTGATCCAGATGATAAAAATGATTACAGAAAAGGAGACAGAGATGCAGCAAATTGAACATATAGTGCTTACAGGACAGAATGAGTACAACTGAAAAGTTTCTTTGAACATTCATTTTCAAAAGCTTAACATACACAGAACATATTTAAAAGTCAAATATATAGTAAAGAACCATGTATATACAAAAGGCAAATACATGGTGGGAGCTGCCACTTATTGCTTTTTGTAACTGTCAAGTTGCATGGAAGTTATGTTGCATGCAACTCTTAGCATGCAATTAGTTGCAGGAAAGTTTCATTGTGTAAAGCCAGCCTAACACTGAACACAGTCCACATAACTAGAGTTCACATTAATCAAACCGCCTTTGAAAGCATTCTAAAACTGCCCTGCCTTGCCTCGTTAAATGAGTGTGAACTGAGCTTTAGAGTGGAAAATCACAAAATGGTGCAGTGCAGGTGGGCCTCAGGACCACAGGTGGGAAACACTGTTCTCACAATCAAACAACCACCACAATGTGATTTTGTGGGATTGAGTGCTGTCAGATCAACTCCACTCTGCTCCCCAGTGAATTTATACCACATCCAGACTTCGGTGTGGAACTGACACAGCGATAGTTTCAGAGCCGTTTCTCTTGAAGTGACGCATTAACAGATAACATGTGATTGGACTATTTTTACATTGTTTGATCTCCTGGGAGTAAACAGCTCGTGATATTTAAAAGTTTAAATCTGTTTAGTTTCAGGCAACTGTGATACGATGAGAGAAAAAGAGAGAGAGAGACAGAGAAAGAGAGAGAGAGAGGCACACCCACACATTTACTCACCCACCCACACACACCCACAATCTTGTTTCTGTGAAGTGTAGGGCCGTTACATAGACTTCTATTCATTTCTTGGAGACTTGCCTAAACCTTAACCAGAACTACTACTACCCCAACCCCAACCCTAACCCTCACTTTAAAATGTAATGATTTACACTGTGGGGACCAGCTTGTGGTCCTCACAAGGAAGAAGGTCCCCACAGTGTATGAACAGGTTTTGGTCTCCACAATGTGGCATAAACCTGGTCACACACCCACACAAACTTATGCACATGCACAAAAGTGTCTAGTTGCAATTTACAAGCAGACTGTCTGCCTAGGACCATTAACCACTAACACTCCTAAGCTATAACACACGTACACATGTTTACAACCTCAACACACACACACACACACACACATTTAGGAGCTTTAAGTTGTAAACACACATACACTCACACACTTCCTCCAAACTCTTCCTCACTGGAGTCTCTAACACACACAGACACTCTGAATAATTTATCTGCTTTCTAATTATATCTGAAAATAATGCTGCAACAGTATGCAATATTAATGCTTCATTTTTATAAGCCAAACCTCTGTAGTGGTCACTTTCCACACTTTTCAGCCTCTGGAAAACTCTCTCTGAGGATAGTCTGAAGAGAGTTAGTACCGTTACTGTAAGCAAAGTAAACATCCCACACCACTGGGACAATGAGGTGTTACATGCCTGATGTGTGTTTTGTTGTGTATACAAAGGAACAAATAAAGGCAGAGTTTAACCCCTTAAAACTCTAAGAGCCCATATGTGGACATACAATTCAACTCATCACTCTCATAACTACATACCTTACACATTACTATCATAGATGCTGAGCAATATATAGTAGTTACTGAACAATGTAAAGCATTTACTGAATAATATAAAGTAATTACTGAATTATATATCATAGTTACTGAATAATATAGTAGTTACTTTTTAATCTCTTGATTACCTTTAATGCCAAAGCAAACAAACATCTATTTCTGCCTCTTAATCTTCTCCTAATAACATTATTGTTGCATTTATTTTGATAAAGAACATAGCTGAAAGTTCATAGACTTTTTTGGTTTATGTAACAAATTACAATTTTGAGAAAGCAAACATATGAACAAATATATGCTATATAGATTAAGGGTATATAATTGTTACTCTGATGAAACAAATCAGTAGGCTCTGAATTGTGTTCTGAATGTTTACACATGTTCACTCATTGTAGTGCATCCAACAAAAATGGCAGAATAGTGCTCCTTTATACACTGATAGTAAACACAGTTGCACCCAGATCCATTTTACTATGATCAACAAGGACACCGGTGGTCAACCTATTAGACATAGGCCTATATATCAAAAATGGGTCAAAACATGAAGAAAAGCCCACCTCTATGCTAATGCTAATTTTTGCTAGTGACCTTATATGACTGTAGTAGTTGCATTTAATGCTTCCAAAAGATATTCTATGTTTTAGATATATTACAGATATAAAAAATCATTATCTTGTAGCAGTTTCACAGTGACTCTTTCAGTAGAGGGGCCTGGTATAGAGCTGCTGCTGCTGTTTTCCACTTCTAACAACCCAGTGATTAAGCTGCCACTTGTCTTCAGTCAGCACTTCAAGAGCGCTTAGAGTAATGTTTTTGTCTCACAAAATGGGTCCCACTTATTGGAAATCAACCTTACTGGTTCATTTCTCTGTCACTTTATAATTATGATGGTCAATCTAAAGTGTAGGCCTTCTCTTCAGCTCCTGAAGTCCTAACCAATAGAAGAGCTCCCTGAGCTTTATCTACCTAGACAGTTCAACTGAATAAAAATGGACAAAAACAAATTACAGACATGCATCATTTAGTTTCCAGAAAAGAAAAGATTTGAATGAGATAAAGCAGACAAAGTCTATGAATGTACTGCCGCCAAATCGTTAGGTAAGATAGCGATAATTACATAACCTGTCCCTGGGGGAAGGCTGGTGGGATTTGCTGACGTTGCATTTCTTGCAAAAGTGTATCAGTGAGTTCATGATCACAGCGTGCTCAGATAATACACTGCAACTGTACTTCACCTCTGTCTGTACACAAAGATCAATTCCATAATGAGACAAACAAGGCACTGTCCACACACACACACACACACACACACGCACGCACGCAGAAAATCAGATCAATGTGGGCGACCTTTCTAGCGACGCCCAGTAAACACTATTATCCCCATTACTCCTCTTTCATCTTTTCTGGCATTTTCTTTCCTCAGTCTCAGCTCAAACTCTTGCCTTTCCTTTAGCTGTGGTACGTTTTCCCCTCATCATCATCATCAACAGCAGCAGCTCAGCAGACTCTCATGTCTTCCCTTTTCCTTGAAGCCTTTATAAACATGATGAACCTCATTATTTTGCTGCTTTCCTTTGATATGGTAAAATGAAACATGATGGTTTTGCTCCAGTACACAGCAGCTCCTCGGTATCCAATACTGCTGCTTATTGATGTTGCTGTTAGCAGTTAATTATATTGTTTACAAGATATATCTTATGTACCTTTATTCTTAGAATAATCTGTCAGGAAATTGTTTGTTACTTGTTTTTTTGTATTGGTCTACAAGGGTAAGTTCTAATTGTGTTTTTAGTATGTGCACTAGCTGTCTTCTAGAAGAAACTGCTTGTACATGAGTGGAATGACATTAATGATCAAGTTATACTATGATGACCTAGATCAACATTTTTAATGATAGAAAACTAATTTGGTTGCAGTTAAGTTTATGAAATGATTCTATCCTGCTAGTCCTGTGCAACTTAACCCTTGTGTGGTGTTGAAGTCTGTGGGACCTATTTTCAGTGTTTAGCAAAAGAAAAGACGTGATTTATTATAATTTCAAGCCCAGATTTCTTGGCCTTTGATAATTTTCTGTAAAGAACATATTAAATAACACATTTTCACTGACTTCACACTGTTCACCCCCTACACATTTATATTACACATGTGATGTTGGGTGAACGCGTGGGGAATAAAAGTGTGGAGGTGTTGTGTCCCTTCACTCTGTTCTCCTCCTACATGGCCTGCTGTTAGTGTGTGTGTGTGTGTGTGTGTCTGTGTGTGTATGTGTTTGTATATGTGTGTATGAGGGTGGACAACATGGATAGGCTGCTGACTGGCTACAGCTGCTAAAGGAGAACCCTATGCTGGCCACTTGTAATATTTTAAACATCTGGTATTTTTACATAAATTGGCTGTATTGATTAAAAACAATAATTTACTGCATATAATCTGTATGTACAGTCAGGTTTAAAAGTTTGGAATCATTTGTCATATTAATAATTGTTATAAAATAACAGTTTATAAACTAAAATATTATGAACTAGACACCAAAATGCAAACTAATGATTTATTCACAGTTTATTTTGGGAATGGTAACATTTTACCAGCTACAAATCTGCTATGACAGGTTTATGGCATGCTTATATCAGTGTTATGTAGCAGAGTTCATATAAAGTGTTACCTTGGGAACAATGAGAATTATGACATGGTAAAAGAGAATAGAAAATATTATTAAATATAAACTGTAATTATCTATTTTGCTATTTGATCAGTGATTTTTCAAATCAGAGACAGTCCGATTGTTCATTCTATTTGCTATGCAGCTTTGTCAATTACTATGGAGTCATCTACAGCTGAAAGTTCTACGTTTTTAAAGCTTTTACAAACTGAAATTGTATTACATTCTCGAAAAATGAATCCAAACTTTTGAACTCTAGCATAAGTGGCTTGACAATGGAGTTAAAAGTGAAGTTGAATGAGCTGTAACAGACTGGACTGTAACTGCTGTCCTTTGTCTCTCTGTGCAGGTGAGACGTTTTCGGACAGTTACAGTCACACAGAGTCGTGTCAGCAGTGTACAGAATGCGTGGGCTTAATGCGCATGCAGACCCCCTGCACGGACTCCAACGATGCCGTGTGCGTGTGCAACTACGGCTACTACATGGATTCGGTGTCAGGCTACTGCGAACCGTGCACGGTGTGTCCGCGTGGTCAGGGTGTGTATGTGCGCTGCGGGGCCGACCACGACACGCTGTGTGAGCCGTGCGAGGACGACACCTACTCAAGCCTGGAGAGCTCGCTAGACCCCTGCCTGCCCTGCACCATCTGCGACGAGAACACTGAGATTCAGCTGAAAGAGTGCACTTCTTTTGTCGACGCTGTGTGCTATGGTGAGCACCACACACACACACACACACACAAACACACACAAACATACACTGATGTGTCCTTTGTGAATGATTCATTCATTTTGAACAAATCATTTGAGTGAACAAACAGAACTGATCCACCTCCTTGAAAGATTTGTCTTATTAAGCTGGTCTCAACCGGCCTCAGAGGCTCCACCCACAATACATATATTATGCTCTAAGATGGTCACAACGTGTTCAAACTTTTGCAGCTGTATGCATGACTCTACACTTCCACGCACAGATGCATCTGTACCCACATCCACTTTCACACCTGCTGCTCTAAGAGAATGCAGTCCAGCTGTGTTTCACTGTGAGGAAAACACACACTTGGCACTGCTCCCCGACCCTTCACTCAGCAGGAAAAGATAACTGCTGTAGTTTAACAAACTTAATATTGGCTTGGCTGGAGCCGGCCCTGTTTTCAGCAGGGATATATCCTGCAGTCAATACGCAGTATTTAAGACTCCATACATAGAGTTATTTAGGAAGAGCCCTGCAGAAGCAGCAATACGACACAGTGCCATCAGTAAGCCAAACTGGGTTACTGTCTGGGTAATAGTTAAAGGAATAGTTTGGAAAAAGATCAGATTTATACAGTTTTCTTGTTAATAGCCAGCACATGTTCAATGTGTGAGGTTTGCTTCTTTAGTTCTACACTAGAGCTACAAATCTATGACAATGTCAGAAAACACATATGAATTAAAGTGCTCCAGAGCATTAGAGGGAAAGTGACTGGAGTAAGAGGGGTAATCCTGGAGCCCATATTTACATTTAGCCCCTTTATGCATCAAGCTGATCTGAAAGGTATTCAATTGTGAAAAAGCCAATCATAAATGCAGCCGAGACGGGTTTGAAATAGATTGCTATCCGATGGCTCAGACCACTTCAGGAGTGTGACAAAACAAAAGCTGCATACAGCAAATCCTATCGTCTTGTACGCTTTATACCTTGTAAAACCTGGAGCTATTTTACTAAAATAATATAATATGCATCATTTTTTCTACATAGAACAACATTAATTTCATCATTTTAGGAAGTATTTGCATGGAACATGGAAAAGCCAGCAAACAAGATTTCTATCTGTTTACCCCTTATAATCCCAGGCTTATCACATACTAATGCTTATTATTCAGTGACTACAGGGATTTCAATGTAAACTGGCTGTTCTTAGGTTATAGAAGTGTGTAATAAAACTTTGGGCCCGCTGGTGGGACCTGGCCATTTAAGGGCTTAACCAAGGTTGTAACTTTGGGTAAAATATTTTAGGGGATAAACAGGATTCAGTGGCTTTGGGAGATTTACAAAAATACACAAATATCTAATCACACCACAAAAATTCCAACCTGAAAACGCAGTAGCTTTAAAAACTAAATATTAAGTGTATTAAAAAGTTATGGAACTTTCCACAGATGTAAACACTGCATAATAGAAGTGAAATGAGGGCAAAGAGCACAATTAACAAAAAAAGACTTACAGTGTATTTTGAGGCACCCCTGCCCCAATTCCTGTCTCACACCTTTCGTATAAAACCACTATATTCTCACCTCATGTCTGTCAGCCTCTGCCTGTTGCGTTTCTCTTTTTTTTTTTGATGCCTACCATAACAACATAAATTGATATTTGAACATAAACACAGAGCTAACATCACACTCGCTCCATAATGGTTTAATGTCTGGGTGCGCATCATGTTAGCTATTAGCTAAGCTGACCATAAGTGCAATGCTATATGTTAAGTAACTTGGACTGATCAAGCACATCAGACAAATACTTATAATGATTTTCATCAATATTTGTCATATCAGGATGTCGTCATTTTTATGGTAGCATTTATTACATCAGTAAGTCCAATATTATTTGTCATTTTTTATAACCAAATAAATATTATCAAATTTAATTGTTGGGGGATTACTTGGCCAAGTTATAATTACTGGAGGGGTTGTAACTCCTCACCCGCCCTGGAAATCAGTTCTACTTAGGGAACATTTCCTGGCTATGGTTGATTCACACTTATTGCTACTAAATTTAATAACCTGGATGACTGAAAACGTTATGCTTACTTTTAGCGCATAAGCAGTTTAAGAAAACTATAATGTCACTATGAGAAAAAACACAAACACATGACAAATTCTGTAAACGACTGCAGGAGAAAACAGGCAGTGTGTCATGGGTAGACGCCAGAACTTGTTTAGACCTCTTAAATGTCCAAGATCTGCTCTTTTTATTACACAGTTTTATAACCTAGGAATTACTCAGACAGTTTGCATTGTTGTTTGTGTAGTTATCGTCTAATAAGCCTTAGGATGTCATTAGTCTGGGATTTTAGGGGGTTAAACACACATTTTCAGTGCTGATGCATGATGTGATATATGACCAAAAGCTGCTCATTACCTTTAGTGGTCCTGCTGTAGACCACCTCTTTCCTCCCCCGTGTCAGCTAATTACACAGAGGTCCAGCGTTAAATCTTGTTTCATAGCATTTGCTTTGCTTTCCCCCTGAGTTCAGAGGTTAACTGGGGTCACTTCCTCATGGGTCTGCTCTAGTCTGGTAGGTGAAAGGTCAAAGTGCAGACAGTCTGTGTGTGGAAGTGCAGTAAGAGAGGTCACTGAGGTCAAGTCCAATTGCTCCTTCTTATCCACCATAAAACTACACAGATTCCCTGAGCGGGGGCTACCTCTGACTTTAACCAGCATACAACACTCTGCCTCACCGTCCAAGCTGTCTCACTGACAGCTCACTGCTAGTGTTAGCAGTTTAATGTGTTAGCATTAGCCTTTAATATGTTAATAATACTTTAACAAGTATTACAACCACAGTTTTACATAAATCAAACACTCACCTCACAGAAAGAAGCTCTAATGCTCAAAGAGCACCAGCGTTCCACTGGCTTTTAATGGCTAGCCTACCTAAGCTTCAGCTTACCTTGAATGTTAGCTTACATTAGCTAAAACAGCTAACAGACACTTGCAGCACAACATGAAAATTACATGATAAAGAACTGCTATGCTCATTTGTTCTAAAATGACAAAATAAAAGAACACAGTAGCTGTTTAGCTAAGATTAGTTTAGCTAACCAGCTAAAGCTGATCTCTGAAAAACATGCCTAAAAACATGAACGAATAAATAAATAAATAAATAAATAAATAAATAAATAAACCAAACCCTGTAATAGCTGTTAAATGGCCCATATCCTATATTTTTCTTGTATGTAATTTTATTTCCTTAGGGTCTACTTATAACGTGCGGTTTTACATACCAACAATGTCATTTTCCAACCTCTCTTTATTCCTTAAAATTAAACAGGTTGTTTTTGTTGCTGTGTCCTTTGTAAGATAAATGAGCTCTGTTTTGACTGGCTGTCTTGTATTGTAACACATTCAGAGCTGAAACACTCCTTAGAACTTCTATATGAAAGGGTGGAGCTAAACTGCTGTAGACTGAATAAGTGATATATGTAAATGAGTTGGTTCTTGTGACATCACAGAAACGAAATTCAAAACGGGCTGTTTTTGCAGCTTAGTTTTCATATATGAAGTGTATGGGCTGGGAAATGGACGGCACATTTAAAATATTTTAACATTGCTCACATATTACTTCAAACTCTTTATTTAAAAAAATAATCAAAAGAAATTAGGTTCTCCATGATATAGACGCTTTAAAAATTAGCTACGTTTAAGACTTTATTAAAGATAAATTATGATTAATTATGTTAAAAATACCATTAAAAGTTACTTTCCACCTCACATAAACATAATAAATACAGCAATAAAAATATGTGTCCCCTTCACAAACAGGGGTTCCTTAGCAGGCAGTATTTTATGCAAGCAGTCAATTTGGACATGATGGGGTGCCTTCCTGCCTCAGAATGCTGTCTGAGTAGGCAGCATCTGTTTTCTCTCTCCTAGCTCACTGAAACAAGTAGAGAAATTCTTTCAAAAGTGCAAATTTCATACTTTCAATCTATTACGTTTATGTTTGTAAGTATAAGAAGAGGTACTTTTTCATGATTTGAATTTAGTGAACTGTTACTGTTGTAAGTACAATTGTGTTTTGTGGAAATAAAACAAAAATACATTTACATTCACACTTTTGCCATATTTTTGATATTGCTTGACATCAAAACAAATGTAAGGACATGGTGCAAGTACACAGTGTCACTGATGCAAACCACTACTCTATGCTAATGGCACCCTCTTGTGGAGAATTTCCATTTGCTAAACATGAGTGAGTGAGCAGGCATTTGAGTGAGCGATTGAGTTACCAACAAGCCAGTTCCATGAGGTGCTTCATATATAAAAAGGCCGGATGCAAATGAGATTGATTTCATAACTAATGATGTAATTAACTGTGTAATTATATAGTTTTAAATAATAAAACAAAACAACAATAATAACCCTAGACTTCTAATCTGAAGTTCACGTTCATTCGCTAATGTCGCCTCAAGTTTGTTCCGTGGGTGTGTTTAAGGCTGCTCTTGTTGTCGTGTGGGGGTGTGCGCTGTTCATCTTATGACAAGAAAATGTAAAAAAAAATATGTACACATATGTATATGTACAATTAATCTGAGGAGTTTAAGCTCATCATTTAGACTCTCACTCCACTGTGTCATTGTTCATTTACATGAAGTTGAGAAAGTTTAAACTTGACGACACTTGTTGTCCTGCTGTCGTGTTGCTTACTGCCTGACATTAAATCACAGCTACACAATTTGTAGTATAGGAAATGACTGGACGCCTGTTGCTCTGTTGCCTCATAATGTGAACATATGGTAAGGCTGAAACATGAAGAGATGAATGTGAAGAATATAGTTATCAGTCCAGTCTAAGACATTAGACTGTCTGCCCTATTCATGGTAGCTGGCAAGTCAAATGAAGGCCTTACACACAAACACGCACACACACTTACACACACGCCTGAGGGCATCAAACATCAGAAGGATGTACCTCCCAAAGAGCAGCGCACTAATCCAATAACACGGCAC